TATTCTAGGCAGTAGTTGCAGAGTAAAGTTGCATTTATTTTTTATTTTGCAGATTTATTCAGATGAAGATGCGTTGGTTGTGAGTGAAGAGGTAGAGAACGGAGTAGGCGGGATAAGTGACGGTCATCTGCCGGACTGGGCGGGGATGGTGGAAGAGGTGCAGTACAACATTGTCACACTGCGGGAAAAGACGAAGCGTGTGGCGGCACTTCAGAGCAATTTGGTGCGTCGACCGTCGCTGGATGACAACGCTGAAGAGGAACGTCAACTGACGGCACACAACAATGAGATCAGAAGGGTCAGTTTTTCTGATTATGTGATGATATTTATAATTTTTTTTTTTATAATCTATTTCTTGGTATGCGATTAATTATGATAGCTATATCAGTACCTAGTGGTCTTTGTATGGTACTGGCATATAATCTGCTTAATATTCCATAAGTATTTCAGATGAGCCCAAACAAGAAGATATAGGTTTACTTAGTGTCTCTCACATGGTGAAAAATATCATGTAATTTTAACTTCTCTGCCTCTATGGAATTACTATTGTATTTGCATTATAGAAATTTTGATCAAATGATCCTCCAGTTGCCTTAGTGTCCTTGTGGTTTCTCACTAGATATAGGCAGTAGACAGAAAATTTGGCAGTAGCTAGTATGGAAATAGATTTTGTAGCAGAATTTTAGCCGAGGTATTCCTCTGTTCTAATATTTATTCTCATCTTCATTAATTTTTTTTTTCTTCAGTGAAGATAGTTATGGCTCTGTCTTAAAATAAGTCAAGGTAATAGTAATATCTTTTTGATATAGAGATATTTATATTTCATACCAGCTGTTACTTTAGGGGGGGGGGAGGAAATAGAGGGTTACTTTTTCTTTTTATTTATGGCTGTTAACTTATCAGAAAGTATGATACTATTATCATTCCAGTCAGTAGTGATTGCATTCCAGTAGTCAGCTTTTACACTGTTAGAAGTAAATCATACAGAGTGAAAGGAGGGCATAGGCTTCTAGATGCAGTGATTAAATAACAGGACGATAGTAATTTCTCAACAAGGTATACATATATTTCTAAGTCAAACAGAAGGTTATTTACACGTGAACTCGATCTTCATTAAATGACGTATCTAGACTTCGTGTGAGGAGAAAAAATATTGCAAAAAATTACCGAGCATTGAGCTTTGCATGATTAGCTGTGGAATGCAGTGTAGATGTTACACACAAAATGCTTCCTAGTCTTTGATTTGCTGAGAGATTTAGAGTGTAAAATTAGTAAATTTAGAGTTACTTCCGGAATAGGCAAGTAGAAATATTAGTAGAAAAAGCAAAAGCAAAAGAAAAGAAAAGAAAAAGAAGAAAGAAAAAAAAAAAATCATAATTGACTGTCTTGATGATCGTAAATTCTCTAGGTTAAGCTCTAAGAATCAGAATTGTTAGGGGGATTGTAGTTGATTTTTCATGTAAAGCTTTCAATAATGCAAGACAGAGAAGTGTTTTTGCAATTGTTTTCATTTGATATAAATTTGATGTGTTGGGCAGTATTATTGGGATCTTTGTGTTTTGAATTAATTGCAGTATTATGCTTGCTTTGTATAGAGAAACCAGCAAGAAATAGTAATACCATTATTTGTATTGCTAGTGATAAATTTTGTGGCAGTAAAGATTTTTTTCTTTTTATTCATCAAATCAAATATATTGTTTTTAACTTTTGGGATCTTAATGTTAACTCAAAGTCTTATATAATGTCTGCAGACCCTCGAGAGATGCCAGATGTTGATGATCCAGATAAAGCATGCAGCTGCCAGAGGTCGAGAAGAAACCTTAAACAAGAATGTTGTTCGGGCACTCGGGTTTGCCCTTCAGGAAGTCAAGAACGAGTTCATGACAACCTGCTCAGCTTTTACGAGTTGTAAGACATGTGTTAATTATCGTTATGTTGAAATTAGCTGTATATTGATAAGGTGTGTAATACTTAACACACATTCATTCTTGTACAGATGCATGTGTAAACCTTTTTATCTGACTTTCTGCAGCCATGAACAATATAAAAAAGACAAGTTCCTTTGTACATGAGGGAGGAGGTGATTATGACAATGATTATGGAACTTTTGAAGACGGATCCAGTTCTAGACACCAGTAAGTAAATATGTGATTGTGTTTCCACTGGATCAAGTTTTGGTTCATAGATTCTGGATTTATGTTTTATGGGGTAAACATGGGTATAGAGCTGACATACATATACATATAATGTAATGGTAATTCAGACAGTTATAACAGTTCTATACGCTCCATTTTATTAAATTTACACTGGACTTTGAAATAATCAGGGTTATTGACATTAATATTTGTTTGAATAGCATGCATTTGATGGAGGAAACAATATCTTTTAGTAAAATTTTTCATAAACTTTTGGTGTCTGAAGAGTACTTTTTTTTATATCTTTAGTTCTTGATGGATAGTTTGATTGCAGAATAATGTATTTTTGTGTATTAAACACAGCCATAGATTTATTAGTCTGTTTAGAGCACATAATTTATGGAGGCTAAGCAGCCAGTAAAGTCAAAGCAGCTATCAAGAAAATCTTTATACACACTTGATTATCATATTATTTTCGCTTGTGTTCTTCAGGGCCTGGACACAAGAGCAACTCATGTTTCTGGCTGACAACACTCAAACAGTTCAGGATCGGGATCGGACAGTTCAGCATATATTACAGTCTACAATCCAACTGAATCAACTCTTCCGGGATGTTGCGCAGTTAGTTTCCGACCAGGTAATTATGATTTTTTTTTTTTTTTTCTTTTTTTACATGTAATGATAAGATTATTCATAAAGAAAGACAGTTCTGTGTGGGACTTCTTCCATTTACTTTAAAAATATATCCCGTAAGTTATAGGAGTGTCTTATCTCTTCATATTTCACTTATATTGTGTAAAACTTCCACATATTACTTTGTTCATCATTAAACCAGGGAATTGTTTCTCACTGTTAATACTTTTGGCTTAGAAATAGAGAGAATGCCATGTCACAGAATATGAGAGCATGCGGATACTGGCTAACAAGCAGTGTATTCTATGGGATTTGATTATCTCATTATATAAATATTTTTTTCTTGAAAGTGATTTATTCTCTCTTTATACAGGGAACCATTTTGGATAGAATAGACTTTAACGTAGAGCATGCTGCCCTCAAAGTCGAAGACGGTGCCAAGCAGCTGAAGAAAGCAGAAAATTACCAGCGTAAGAACCGCAACATGAAGTGCATTTTAGGGCTTTCAGGCACAATCATTGTTTTGATTATTATTTTGGTACTTGTCAAAACTTAACAGTGATAGTGTATTGTATAACTTTTATCTGTCAAATAAATTATTGATACTAGAAATAATGTAGGATATTCTATTTTTCCAGTACAGTATTGTGTTCTACTAAAGGTGATACAATTTGTAGAGCTATTGAGGTATTTTGCATTATGCAGATAATGGTGTCTAATTATTTCAGGAAGTTACCTTAGAGGGATTAAGAGAGGTTAGGCTTTATATCTGAAATGTACCTTTTTGGAAGAAATTTGATGCAAGGAAGAGCATTTTTTTTTTGTTTTTTTTTGTTCAAGAGTATATGAACACCAAAAACTTACTTGATATTAATATTAACCCATTCGCCACGGATTTATGTTCTGTCCCCTGTTGGTTTTGGTGAATTTTGCTACCTACAGATGGCTCCACATGTACTCAGCCGGCAAGGAGTCTATCAGTAGGCCCTAGTTACCGACCCTGATTTTCCCATTCATTGAATTGGCGGGAAAATTAATATCATTGCTTTCGATGCAGTTATTATTGTTACTGATGTTATGATGATTGAATTGTCATTAGAATATTTTTGACAATAAGATGATACAAAAAACCCTTTCCGAAAGTGAAGGAAAAGGCTAAACAGGTGAAATAGGTAGTTCTTGATAACTGGCTATTTGGTGATTAAGAACTTGTAGAGCCATCTAGGTGTAAATACAATAAATAAACGTGTATCAAAGTGGGTATGGCATCTATTCTTGCTAACTGCGGCGAATGGGTTAAGTAACTTAATATTCCATTAATCTTACAAGGGGCCAGAATAAGGGCTATATGAGGATCTTTTTGGTTGGCATTTAGTTGGACAGGCATGTAGTCACACATCTTGGTCAAATGTACATGGTATATGGTCAGTCTCGTGACCTGTAGTACTGCTTAATTTTTTATTAAACAGAGCAATTAATATTGTCGTTAGGCAGGATAATATCTTTTCCAATGTACTGATATTTAAAATTATTCTACAGTGCATGAAATTTACCACATACCTTAATACCTTTTGGTGTTGGACATTTTGTTGAATACTTTTTTTTTTTTTTTTTTTTTTTTTCTTTCTTTCTTTCTTTCTTTCTTTCTTACATTGATTTGGTATCAATATATCAGACATAAGTGGGTTGGTTTGATTCAGGTACGATCAGTTTTAGGATAAATCTTCGGATCTAATAATTAGATACATTTTTATTCATTTTGCTCTTACTGGTTTTCAGTCTTTGAAAAAATAACTTAGTAAAGTCTTTAGCAAAGAAGTAATTTTTTTTTTTTTTCTTTCTTTCTTCTGCGACTATCTGGAAATTTGAAGGTTACAGAGATTATCTTACCAAAGGTTTACAGGATATTATATTTGAATAATATGAGATCACAGTATTTTGTTGCACATTGATTTGGTATCAATATATCAGACATAAGTGGGTTGGTTTGATTCAGGTACGATCAGTTTTAGGATAAATCTTCGGATCTAATAATTAGATACATTTTTATTCATTTTGCTCTTACTGGTTTTCAGTCTTTGAAAAAATAACTTAGTAAAGTCTTTAGCAAAGAAGTAATTTTTTTTTTTTTTCTTTCTTTCTTCTGCGACTATCTGGAAATTTGAAGGTTACAGAGATTATCTTACCAAAGGTTTACAGGATATTATATTTGAATAATATGAGATCACAGTATTTTGTTGCACATTGATTTGGTATCAATATATCAGACATAAGTGGGTTGGTTTGATTCAGGTACGATCAGTTTTAGGATAAATCTTCGGATCTAATAATTAGATACATTTTTATTCATTTTGCTCTTACTGGTTTTCAGTCTTTGAAAAAATAACTTAGTAAAGTCTTTAGCAAAGAAGTAATTTTTTTTTTTTTTCTCAAACATGTACAAGCATGTTTACATTTTTTAAAAATTTATTTAAGACAGACACGAGTTATAACATAAGCCATTGCCGCCAGAAACATGTAGTTTTGTTTTGTGAATTTTGTTGACATATAAATGGCTCCACAGGTGCTCAAGACCAAGGAGTTCATTAGTAGGTTAAAGTGACCTGCCCTAATTTCCCCCTTCCTTGAGTGTTTTGGAAAAATGCTCTTTTCTAATATTATAGATATTAATACTGTTATTACTATTATTAACTATATAATTATAATGATGTTATCAACAATACTAATATCAATATAAAATGAAAAATATTTTGAAAATCAAGGAAAATGGTCATCAGGTGAGACAGGTGAAAATAGTAATTGACTCCTTGGTGCCTAAACACTTGTGGAGCCTTATATGTGGAAATACAATCAATTAACTAAAATTACACTGGACATGGCACTTAAGTATGTATCCTATCTGGCAGCAGTGGATTGTGCTTATGCTCATTTGTGAATACTATCAGAATTTAGTCTGTGTCATTGGATGGAAGTGTAACATGTCCATGAGAGTGTAAAAGCTGTATAAATATCTTGCTATTGCAGTGGGCTGGGAAACAATATCATATGAATAGCCAAATATTCAAGATTTCAATTTATAGAAACACTTGCAGTACAGTGTATAAACTTTCGATACTATTGAAGGGAAATGTGAATTATGTTATTAAATTAAGTGGATGTTGGATTTGGCCATACATTTTCTGAAAATGTTGTCCATGCTTATAATATACTGTGTTAATGGAGGCATTGTCTTGCAGCATTTTAGCTTTAATGCGCTAAGTAAGTCAATTTTACAACACTGTTATTGCGGTAATTGCAGGCCGCATGTGTTGAAATAATTTAAAAAATAGGTTCTTTCTTGCTTCTCTGTCACACAAGTATATATTAAATGACTGTGGTAACTTGCTGAATCACTCGAGTAATATGCAGTACTCTTTATGAGTTTGGATCATTAACAATATTCTTAAAAATGTACTATATTGATGATATATTTATATATATATATATGTTCACACAAAGCTTTATTCAATCTTGTTCTGTGAATGTAATGTTCTTAAAATATATTGACTGAAGCTAGTTAAAATGATGTAGCTATAGCTCTTTGTGGTGTGTATGTGAATTTGTACTGAAAGAAACAATACTGTATCCTATGTATGGCGAGTTGTTAAATCTGTCAATTTCAGATGCTTTATAAGTGCAAGATAATAAAATCTTTATTTAACAACTGATTTCCTATGTTGCCAAGAAGTTACATTCTGTTCGCAAATATCTTGTTTCTCTTTGATGCTCCCGTCCTACCACTTCTGTTGGAAAACCCTGGGGTCATGATAGTAGGCAACAAATATAGTTTACATACATTTGTGGAATATTTATTTATTAATTGGAAATTTTCTGCTGTGTAGACATCTGAGGCCATTAGAAGAAGATTTTTTTGTTCACAAAGCGATGTTTGGGAATTTGCAGAATGGTCAATGGTCAAAACAAACAAATATGCCAGACATCAAATGCCACACAACTTTATGACAAAATTTTGTGTTGAAAACAGGGTAAAAATGAGTTATCAATTAGGATAAGTGGACAGAAGATGAAGGGATGAAGAAGAGAAGGAAAAGGAAAGACCATGCAAAATTAGTTGAGGTGCAGACTGAAGTCCAAGGTAGGATTGATGCCCTTCCATGGGCCTCAGTCTCCGCCTCCTCAGCCCCAAGGCAACGACGAGCAAGGGATTAGGGGATTTGTGGAATAGTAAACAGAAATGTAGCTAATGAGGCATACCATAATTGTTTCTTATCAATGGTGTGAAGAAATGTGTTAGACATCAAAGGTCATATAAGCATTAAAGTATTGTGGCAAAAAGGGTGGAAATGAGTTATTGATCAGGATAGATGTCAAAGGTTGTAAAATGCTGAAGGATAGAATGGTTCTGAAGAGGGTATAGAGGGGGAGCAAATGGAATACTGTGGGGATCTGTAAAAGGGGAAGGGCTTAAAGGTATAGGGCAATCAGATCAAATGGAGAGTCTGTGTCTGAGGAAGGGACACTGTATGAGGAAAACTGCAAGAGTTATTATGAAACAATCAAAGGGTAATATGGTAAGAAACAATAGTTGTAAAAGTAGGAGAAGAATCAAGAGGAACATTTAGTTTGTCTGGTGTTACAGGTAGAGTGAGAAGGAGGTGTAGGTACCTGGGAAGTGGTAGAGACTGGAATATTTGGATTTAGACAGGAAAAGGAATTTGACTGGGAGAGAGACAGAGTAGAGATAGGTTGGTTCAGGGCAGAAGGAAGAGATACTGGGGGAGATGCTGAGACTTACTGAGAAGATGGGAGTGGAGCAGAGTGAAGTAGTTTTGGAATAGGTAGAAAGAGAAAAATCTTGTTGGTGTGCTTCTTGTTTGGCCTCACGTAGAGTGAGGCCAGACGACTGCTACCTCAGATTTGAGTTTGTAGGCAAGACACCTATAAAATACAATTGGCTCATGTGGATGACTGAGCAGAGCAATTTGAATGGTCATGACCAGGTTGGGCACATAGAAGGCAGCATTCTATGGAGCGACAGTGTTTGGCCAAAATGTCAACATTTCTGACATTGACGGGGAAGGGGTCAATATGTTCAGACAGGGTAGGACACACCACCAATACAAACTGCAAGAACATGCAAAATTAGTTGAGGCGATGGCCAAAGTCCAATGTAGGGGTGATCCCCTACATTGGGCCTCAGTCTCTGTCTCCTAAACCCCCCTCAACAAGTAAGGAATTATTTTTATATATATATTTTTTTTATTATTAAAAGATAAGTAAACACTGAGACATGCTTGATATCTAGAGAGGCTTACTTTATGTTTTTAAGCCCTGTCATCTATAGTGTCAG